CACGCGCAGCGAGGAGTGCCTGTGGTGTCTCTCAATGTGACGATGGCGGCGCAGATCGGCGGCGGCAGGCAGCCGTGCGCTGCGGCTGCCGCGGCGCCTGCACCCGGAACTGCAGCTGCAAGAAGAATGGTGCGCGGTGTGGGCGGCACTGTGGCTGTATAACCGGTAAGGGTGGCAATTGCAAGAACCATTGAAAAAGTGTGCCTTGTACGCTTTGCCGTCTCCGCTGGAAGGTGCTGCCGCCTGTGGCGGCTTCATATTTCCTGTTCATTTCTGTTGTTCGGTCTCTCTGTTCGTGTTGGTTGGCTTGTAAGAGTTGTATTTCTGACGCTAGAGAGGTGAGATGACAGCGGGAGCGTTGAAGCGTGCATGCCATCACGTGTGCAAGCAGCCCCGCTCCGCCCCGCTCAACCCTCAAACAGGGCTATATGGGGTCAGTTCACGTATGGGAGGGGAGCGCCGCGCGGGCTGCCAGGAGGGAGCGGGGGCGGGGGTTGCCCAATCGGGAGGGTGCCACATCAGGGGGCAACACATGTCATGGTCGGAGCCCGCCTCAGCAGCCCAACCGGACAGCATTTGTGCTGCACGATTGGCGGGCGCTTGCTGCCGGGAACAGGTGAGCGCAGGTTTCAGCCGCGGCTCCCAACCTGGCCGAGTCCCAGGCACACGCTTCTACGCTTCGCTGTGGACCCATCCTGGCAATTAAGTGGCGGCCTGACCTGTGTCGCATCGTGCGCTGGCACGCAGATGGCGGCCCTCAAGACCTACAAGGCGGCTGTGTGCGTCATCCCGCCGCGCCACGCCTGGTCGCGCATCCAGGACTGCCGTGTGTTCAATGACAAGTCGTTCAGCAGGTGGCCTCCGCACATCAACCTTCTGTACCCGTTCGTCGAGCCCGCCGGCTTCCAGCAGGCAGCGCAGCTGTGCCGCGAGGCGTTGCAGTCGGTCCGGACCTTCCAGGTGCGGGCGGCGGCCCCACCAGCGCAGCTGCCAAGCCAGCGCGCAAGCCAGCTTTTCACCAGAGGGCACTGCCGCGGAGCATGTGTTGCAGGTGACCCTGGCAGAGCTGGACTTCTTCGAGCACGACAGGAGCTGCACGCTGTGGCTGCGCCCCGACGCGCAAGGTGGCTGCCCTGCCGCACGGCTGCCTCTTATGGTGCCCGCTGTCTGCAGGAAGCTGTGTGCCTGGCGTTTGCATTCCTGGCGGACACAGCCTTTGCTGCTTTCTTCCCCGCATGCTGCAGAGCTGCTGGAGGTGCAGGCGGCGCTGGCGCGGGCCTTCCCGCAGTGCGGCGACCTCAGCACCAATGCCGGGCGGCGCATCCAGCGCTTCACCCCCCACCTGTCGCTGGGCCAGTGGCGCACGCGGGGCGACGTGGTGGCGGCGATGCAGCGGCATGCCGCCAGCTGGCAGCCCGTCACCTTCCAGGCAGCAGGCGTCGCCCTGATCAGCCGCCACGGCTTTGACGACCCCTTTTCAGTGCAGTGGTGGGTGCCTTTCGGCGGTGGCGAGCCAGTCTTCCTGGGCGCCCCCTACTGTGCCACGGCGGGCGACTGCTGCCTGCCAGCCGCCAGCAGCGGCGGCGGCGCGGCGGCGACAGCGGGCGCGGGCGGCGTGGCGGCGATCGCGCAGCAGCTGGTTGGCATCGGCGCTGCACGGCCGGACGGCAGCGTGTGGAACTTTGCCTACGGTATGCCTATGGCCTCCCGCTGGAAGCCTGCTTGACCACCCTGTGGGAGGCGGGCTTTGCCGGCAGGAGCCACTCCAGCAGAAGGCTGAGCGGTGGCACCCCCGCCCCTCCTCCCCGGCGTGCTGCAGGCGCCAACATGTGCCCCCGCAAGCTCGGCGGCGCCCGCGGGCTGCACCCGCTGGAGTCGCTGCCTGCGCAGCTGCCGGGGTGGCGGCTGAGCTTCACGCACCGCGGCGCCATGGGCAACCTGGTGCGCACGGCGGGCGGCGCGGCCAGCGGCGGCGCCCCCGAGGCCGTGCACGGCCTGCTGCACCGCCTCTCCCCCGCAGACTTCTCGCGGCTGGCCAACATGGAGCACGAGTACAGGTGTGGTGTGGGTGTGGTGTGGGTGTGGGTGTGGGTGTGGGTGTGGGTGTGGGTGTGGGTGTGGGTGTGGGTGTGGGTGTGGGTGTGGGTGTAGGGCAATCGGTGCAGCCTGTGGACTGGCCGGGCAGAGCCGCACCGCAACGGCACGCTGATTTCCAGAGCCCTCTTGCTTCTCTGGGCCTGCTGCGGCCTGCAGGCCGGTGGAGGTGGAGGTGCAGCCCTACGGCGGCGGGCCCGCCGTGCCGGCAGTGGCGTTTGCGACGCCCGAGGGCCGCTGCATCGCCGACGGCCTGCCGCCGCCGCAGAGGTTGGCCCGACAGGGGAACTGCATGCTTCTGCAGCAGCCTGCTGGTCCCAGCCCCAGCCCACCTGCGGCCGCAACTTGGCCCAGCGCATCGGCTGAGGCTGCTGCGGCGCCCTTTGCCTGCCTGCCTGCCCGCCTGGGCCCTGCAGGTACCTGGAGCTGCTGCAGGAAGGGGCCCGCCACTGGCAGCTGGACCCTGCATACGTGCAGTGGCTAGACGGCATGCAGAGCGTGGACAGCAGGCAGAGAGGTGCTGCCTACTACACATCAGCCGCCGGCTCGCCGCTGGCGGCGCTGCCCAAGATCAGGACGGGGTCGCAGCAGCAGCGGCAGCGGCGGGGGCAGCAGGGGCGGCGCGGCCAGCAGGGGCGGCCAATTGCATTATGATGATGATGGGGCGCTCGGTGCACATGCCACACACACCCGAGAGCCCGGCACAGTGAAGACTGCCAAAACAGCTACTTTACAAGTAAAGATGGCAATCAATGGGCCGGAAGCAGAATCGAATCAAATCGAACCAATCAAATCAAATGTTCAGAGCTGGGTGTTTCATGCACATTCGTTCGCGGCCCAGCCGGCTGCATTCGTTCTGCTTCCTATCACTCCTCATCAAACAGCGGGCTGCTGGCCGCCTGCGCCCCCGCCTGGCTGAGCAGCGCCTGCGACGCCACACCCTCCACAGCAATGTCAGGCATCTGCGCCTGGACTGCGCCTGCCGCCGGGATGCCGGCAATGCCCTCTGCCGCAATGGAACCGGCGCCAGCGCCCGCCAATGCGCTGGCCAGGGCCTGCACCAGCAGCGGCGCGCCCGCCGCCGCGCTGGTGGCCGCCGCGCCCTGCCCCGCCGAGCCGCCGGCGAGCACAGCCTGCATCAGCAGCATGCCCAGGGCCGCGGGCAGCGAGGCGCCGCCGCCGGCGACCAGCTGCAGCGGAGAGGTCTGCACGGCAGGCAGGGGGAGCAGCACGGTGCTCAGCCCATGGCTGGCAGGATGGTTTGCCCCGCCCTGGAGACTCACGCACCCCTTCTGCCTGCCCAGCCTGCCAGCCAGGCGCTGCGCACCTTGGCACGCGACAGCTCCAGCACGCGCACGCCCTCGTCCGCCGCCAGCCCCGCCGCCTGCTTGGCCAGCTGCAGGGCGCGGGAGATGCCGCCCACCGCATCCACAAGGCCTAGCGTCGCCGCCCGCTGCCCGCTCCACACGCGGCCCTGCGCCACCTCCTGCACTCACACACACACAGCCACAGGCAGCGGCAGCAGTGGCCGCACAGCAGGGCATGGGCGCCGGGGGAAGGCAGGAGCAGCCGACTCCTGCCGCCGCCCACGTGCTGCAGGTGCACCTCCCTGCCTGGGCGCACCTGCATCGCCTCAACGCTCATGCCCCGGCTCAGCGCCGCCTTGTCGCGGAAGCTCTCGTAGGCGTGGGTGGCGCTGGCATCAAACAGCGCCTCCTCCTCAGGGGTGAACTTCTTGTTCTCCGCCAGAAGCTGGGCATACTTGCCCCTGCGCAGCAAGCGTGGGGGGGGGGGGGGGGGGGGGGAC